ACGACAAACCCAATAACATTTAACTTAATAGAAGAATATTACACACTACTATACAAGATTGTTCATCGGCCTCGATTTTTTGAAATCAAGGTCATATGATGAAATCAGCCGCAGACTTGGCGTAAAATGCATGTTCCGAGCTTAAAACAGTTCAGGGCGAAAAAGCGAATTCCTAAAGGTTGAAATCACCTTTTCTACATTTAAAAACAACGAAAAAATCAATTCACAAGCACAGTCTGAACTCTATAAGCTGCTGATAGTGTTGGTGACGTCATCAGCAGAGCAGCAACCGACTCGAGAATTGGCGAATGTACGCTAGCTCAATGAGATTGATTGAGGATGGGCCTTAAATTAGGATTAGCGGCATCAAGGAGAATATCCATCCGTGTATTTATTCATGTAGTTCAGGGCTGCGTTCACATTGAAAAGTCCGACAAGATATAACTGCCTGGAATTACCGATAAATGACGACATGGATGAAGCGTCGAGCGATGGTTAAACTGAACGCACTGGACGCTCAAGGATAATACATACTACTACTTACTACAGGATAGCCTGCGTGGAACAAATCTGAAGCCCCCAACCACGCCAAATCACCAGTTGTGACGTAACAGCATGTCCTTTCTCGCCTAGACGTAGGCTGTTTGCACTACAGGTTATATTTCCGCGGACTTTCGCTTTGATTTTACTACATTAATTAACATTCTAAAACAACTCTTTTTTAGATCTCGTTTTCATCTTCCTCTTTGCCTATTATTCTTGCGTTCGGTATTTTGCTCAAAGAGCAGAGCTTGTTGAACGGAGCCGTAATCACGTGACCAGCGAGCGAACAGAACAGTTAAACGCTGTATCAGAGTGCCAGAAATTTTAATAAACGTACGCGAGTGACCTTGCATCGAGTACACTTTTCAAGAAAAAGAACGCTAAATTCAAGCTCGGAGAACTTAGATCAAAATACCGAAGGCACGGTATGTTAATCAAACTGTGCGTTCGGCATTTTGATTTGAGTTCTCCGAACATAAATTTACCGTTCGTTTATTTAAAAAGTGTACTCGGGTAGGCTAATTCATGTTTGTTTATTTAAATTCCGAGCCCTCTGATACAGCGTTTAACTGCTCTGAGTGCTCGCTGGTCACGTGAATACAGCTCCGCTCTGCTCTTTGAGCAAAATACCGAACGCAAGGAAAATTCAATAATTAGATTTGTTTCTATGCATATTTGGTTTCAGTACATTATATTCCAATGGCGATTTCCATTTGTCAATCAGTGCGCACTGAGTGTATCCGCATCTTTTTCTAAAAGCATGTAACATGTAAGGATTTAGGATAAATTTTTTTTGCACTGGTTGGACAAATGGAAACCGCTATAAGTATAAGTATAAGGGCGAATTCTCATGAGCGTAAGTTGACATTTCTGGCGTAATCACGTGATAATATGGTGTAATTTGATTGGTAAAATATCCAACATGGCAAATATTTTACGAATAACCCAAACTAGTCAGAGCGAATTTCATTGGTTGAAAACAGTCAGAAAACTAGTTTCAACCAATGAAGAAACAGACGAGAGATGAAGAATATTATTCTTCATCATAAATTCTAAACTACTACCGCTGGCGCACACAGCTAATGGATTACTTATGACGTCAAAAATGGTGACACACCAATATGGCGGCGATTACCAAAAACGAGGTCGATAAGCAATCCTGTAGGTGTATCTTATCCTTGCTGGACGCTTGTTGCTTGTTTGTTGTTTGTTGACGATGACATAACCCAACCCCACTAGATCAGACCACGAAAAGTGAAAAGTGCAAAAAGTAATTCCAATTGTAATTTGGGCATATTAACGTAGTATTTAGGTCAAATGATTGGGAAGTATATAAATTCGGAATAATTTTTACTTATTTTGTTAATGTTGATCAACTGATTGCTAACATTCCAAATGCGCAAGTCCGGCAACTTTCGTCCATGTGCACGACTGCTCGAGTGGACGTAATGGCAAGTCGCCCGACGTTATCTTTCATCAAGCTGAACGCTGGCAAATTTCACTCGATGTCGAAACTGAACGATATTCGGGCTATTTACAGTGGCTAAATAAACCTTTACATACAGTGGCGACAATAGAGGTCCCGCCGCCATTTTGTTCCCAACCTCTTGTTACTTTTAAATATTAATATATAGGATTTAAATGGACATCTATCATAAAAAATTGAAGTCGACGTATTTGATGACTATTATTAGGTCCATCAAATACGTTCTTTTCTATGTTTTATGATGGATGTTCACCCAAATCCCATGAATCCATATTTGAAATAAGCAATAGGTGGGAACAAGATGGCCGCGTTTTCAATATAAATATATGGGATTTTAGAACCAATCAAAAATAAGACAGCAATTGTCGCCACTGTGGGTAATAGAGTCACTGTAGGGCTATTCGGCGCGTGCGACGACGTTCGACGTCCAGAATGAACGCGCCCCAGGGTGCCAACTATTTTGTTTTTCAATGCCACAGCCCCCTACTATAGGAGGCTGTGTCAATGCTGATAGATGTTGCGTTTGAAGTTTTTCGGTTGTCAGCCTGAATTAGGCAATCCAACGACCTGTCCAAATGGCGTCTGGTTGGCAAATAATAAACAAAAAACATTAGGTTCGTTCCAACCCAGCCAAAAACCGTACAATGTACGGTCACGGTCATGCGCCATATGTTAAACGCGTTCCAACCGAGAGATGATCGTTTACCGTACAGTTTCGTTGGCGTTCCAACCAAACCTGGGATCGTTCGAGAACTGGTTTTAGCATCGTCATTTCGATCCCGAGTGGAAAGCCAGAACCGCGTGGACTGATTCATGACTGACATGCGTAATTCAATTTTTGTCACCTGTTTTTGTTGTTCATGTTGTTGTTAAACAACCAATTTCCAATCTAACTTATAAAACTGTAGCATTTTTATTTTTTCAAGTGAAAAAAAGTACAAAATTTATTATCAGCTATTTGCTAGTCCTTGATGTTATCAGCTTGCAAGGATTCAGTTTTAGATTCTTGATAATGAATCAGCGTTGGTGTTCGATTTTCCTTTTTTATATATTATTTTGTAATCCTAATCCTATATTCTTCTATTTTAATTTGCAAACAAACAAATTTAGGGTTAAAGTTATTTGAACTGTCGTCATTACGAAAACGATCATGAAACCGTTCCAACTACCCGTTGTTTCTGTACCAAGATAAAACCGTGCAAGGTCAACGCATGCGCCTGCAATCGATCCTAACAGTTCCGAAACCGTTTCATGACGATACGAAAACGGGGGGTTGGAACGAACCTATTATGTTTTTATTTTGAGGGGATTAAGCCTAGTACTCATAACCGCAAAATTCGCTCTTTTTTGACGTTTGATTCCTTAGAGCAGGAAAGCGCTGTCCTACGGACATAAGGAGTAGGAACGTGTCATTCTGCTTATGAAACTAAAGTGAAGCCAAATTTTTGGCAGGTGTTTGGCACCAAGATACAGGTAAAGCATTGAATTGCCATAAGCGCCATTTTCTTGGTGCCAAAATACCTGGAAAAATACGGCTTCATTTTCCAAATCCAGGTTACTACTCCTCTTTACCTTTACCTGCTCTAAGTTTGATTCACACATAAAACATCAAATTGTCAAAGCAATGTCAAAAAACAGCGAATTTCGCTGTTATGAGTACTAGGCTTTATCAATACTGACATCGTTCCATCGTTGACATGTAACAACCCGTATTCTAACCTCATAAAAATTTCAAAATGCCGGCTGGTTGGCAAAAGTCACGTGCACGTCACGTGGTTTGGATTCCCTAATGGAAAAATGCACAGATGTAATACGGGCATAAGGCTTATCGGCCTCGTTTTTGGTAATCTCTGCCATATTGGTGTGATACCATACCATTTCCGACGTCATAACTAAGTCGTCAGCTATTTAAATAGTCTGCGTCAAGGCGAGAAATAACATGCTGCCTACGTCACAACTGGTATTTTGGTGCCGTCGAGGCGGGGAAGGCGGGGATTTGTTACACACAGGCCTTATGAGGATAGGCCATCCTGTAGTAGTAGTGTGTGAGTTGTGTGACCAATCCTGTTTGGTGGTCGGTGGAGTGTTCTTGCACTTAGACTGGACACCAGTGTTGATCGGGTAATTTCACCATTTCCAACTATAAATAAGTTACTTTACTGGCATTTTGCTTACTGGTAATATTCTATACAAGTAAATGCATTCAGAGGTTTCTCCAACATTAATTCTAATTATCCACCAAAAGGAATTAATTGCAATAAAAATAAAAAAACATGAAAACCTAAAGCCTAGTCTCCATAGACGCGAAATCGCGAAAAGCGAATTTTTTAAGTGTCATTTTTTGGTGGCTCTTTCCGAGCAAATTATTCCCATGTCTCCATAAGCGCGAAATTCGCGTTTTATTTAACAGGTTAAGGTTACCTATGTGTTGTTGTTTGTAATCAATTTGAATTCGATTTAAATGCTTTGAATTTCAAACACTAATCTTTGAAAACCATGAAAGTGATTACTAAAAAACAAAAAAAGATATGTGTCTTGGTGTTGTCTTAATTACATTTAAGGCACTATTATAATCTTCCTCATCGACCAGCAAGCTGTAATTTATGTCTGTTTTCGGGTCTACAATATTCAATTCTTTGGCAGTATCCATTCTTTATTAGGTATCTACAAGTACAAAACACATCAACGACTCACAGAGAACAGAGCACATACCGACAAAAACATAAACAAAACTAAACTGAAAGTAACACCATATAACCTCATTTTTTTTTGGCGAAATTTCGCGGAAAGTTAAAAAATAGTTAACTTTTTTGCGACGCCGCAAGAAGTTAAAAAATTCGCGAATTTTTCCCGCCATAAAAAAATCAAATGTTAAATGTCAAATTCCAACCAATCGGAAAATATCCGCAAAAAAAAATTCGCGATTTCGCGTCCATGGAGACTAGGCTTTAACACTTAACCCCAAATTGTATGCCATCCATCCGTCATTTTGAAAATTTTTGACACATCGTTGCCCGTTGGTTTTTTGTTTGTTTGTGTTAGGGTTAGGTTAGTTTCACTTCAAAATCACCTTCACCCCGGTTTCATCTAAAGAAATAAGAAATTTTGTTTGAGACTTACAGGTCATAGTCTTGTTTCCAATTAATCAGTTGAATTTATAAAGTGAAAAATACCAAAAAAAACCAACATGCCAAGGAAAAGGGCCAAAATTAATTACAGTGAATACAGTTCTCAATGCAGCTCCTCTGACGACTCCAACAGGAAAAATCAAGGTCTCGGCCTAGATCAATTCAATGAGAAACAACCACAAAAGAAAGTAGGGCGCCCAAAGGGTAAACCAGCTAAAAAAAACAGCAGAACTAAAAAACAAAAAAACACAGTGAGCTGGGCCTGCAGGAAAGGCCAAGCTCAAAATTTGTCACCAGCACAGTCTACATCAACTTCTGAGCATACTGTTACCGAGACTGTTACATACTCTAGCTCACTAGCAACAAATAATGATGATTATCTGGACAGAAGTGAGGATCAAAGTGTGGACTTCAGTAAAGCAGCAAAAAATAGAATTGACAATTTCTTGAAACGATTTCAATCTGATGATGAAGAGGATAATCATAATGTACCACCTACTCAGGCACCATCTGGAGCAGCGACTAGCTCTATTAAAAGTGCTGCTTTCTATAGTTTGTCCGATTTCGAAGAATTGGAAAAATCTGCTAGTGATAAAAGTCCTGATGCAAGTCCTGCTAGGGGTTCTGATAAAGGTATGGATATAATCAGCTCTTTCCTAGTCCCATCATCACCAAAGCCGAGCACCAGTGGCTTAACAACATTTGCAAAAGTTCTAAATAAACCTACTGAAGAAACTCCACAAGATTCCTTTGCCTATGTTGAATCTCTTTTAACCTCTAGTGACGAAAGTGATGTAGAGGAAAAACCTAAAGAATTGACCCTTGCAGAATTGAAGAAAAAAACTGATGAAATTTTGAGAGACGTCGAGTTGTCTATCGAAGCCTTGCATCCAAAGCCTGATCCAAAACCTCCAGCTGCAGAAATTGAGGCTCCCTCTTGTCCAGTTTGCTTAGACCAATATGATGCAGGGCCTCGGCAAGCAATGACAACACTATGTGGCCATGTTTTCTGCAAAACCTGTATCACCAATGTAGTTAGGGTTTCTAAAAAATGCCCTACCTGCAGAAAAGGCCTCACCAAGAATAAATACCATCCAGTTTATATTTAGTCTTAAGTCTTTACAATGTTATTTTTTCATATTATATACCAAGGGATTATTTTTCAGCACTCAACACAACATTACCCAGTTCTCAAATACTTATTTATTTTAATTTTTAAAACTGATTAAATATAAATTTATAAAATTTTGGGATTAAACTGATTTCTGCTTCTGCATGTAAATATGAAGTAAATTGCATTCAATTCATCATATTAGTTAGGTTAGATTCGCAAATTGGCGCGGGTTCCTAGTTCAAAAATTAATACATTGATGTCTTATGGGGACTCAATTTTAAAAGCGTCTGTAGACGTGATAGAACGTTTGTTACGGAATTGAGTATAAATAGTTTTTTTAATATGTTAATTAACTGAGAGAGTGTTTGAAAGTTGAATAAACATTGTTAAAATTAAAATATTACCAATTTAAGAAGCCGATGTTTTTATTAGGCATTGTTGGAAACAAAATCCAACACCTTTATTCTCATCGAAAGGTGGGCATTTTTTAATATAGTTCCTTTAACATACTTGGTATGAGTCGCTGCGTTCTTAATTTATAGGAGGCACTTTCCAAGAACAATTCTGCCACCTTTTTTACTCTGATGACAGTTGTTGTCATTCTGCCATAAAAAAGTAATAAGCGGCACAAAACATCCCCCCTTAGAAAGGTAAGTGCCGTGTTGAGAACCTGTCTATAAGTTTTCAGCGCCTCTAGTGACTGGGGGGATAAGCTTTTATAATTCTGGATTTATTGGCGAATGCAAAACGCAATTAGGGTTCGTTCGGTATCTTATTCGTTCCGGTGGATCGTTTGCACCATTGTTTGATTCTAGCGATTCAACACCACCACTTTAAAGTTTCTACCATTTTTTGGCATAAAATAATTGTGCCAAAAAGAAGAAACTCATAAAATCGGTAGTGTTGAAGCGCCTTCAAGGTAAAATTGACTAAAAATTAAGATGACAAATTTAGATATTTATTAAAGTTTGAAACAGAAAATATTAAAGAATATGGAATTAATTACAATTATTGCGAAACAGTTTTTTTTCATGTAAGTATACATACATAGGTAGGTAATGCTAGTTAAGTTAAAGATAATAAGGACAGTTACAAGAAGTAATGACGTACATTTAACAATAGCTTGATGAAAAACTTAAATCGTAAATAAAATGACAAAAGAGGTCCTTTTCTCACAATCCAAAATCGTTGTTAATCTAACAAGTGAGGAAAGTGTTTCTGCACGTGATGGAAGTTGCACGAATGACAACAAAAAGCAGAGTTCAAACAAGCCTTTAAGTCCGGAAAATACACTTTCCGCATGTGTTAGGTAGAAAGTTTATGTAGTTATACATAATATAAAGCTCATTCAAGAAAATGATTTCGCCTGGATGATAGAATAAATATTTTTGATAATAGTCTATACCCTTTACCACTAGCTTTAAGCAAAGACAACGCCAACAACTTCTCGTCCAATGTAAATCGTCTAGCTTTAGGCTTTTGGTTTTGAGTACGGACTTGGCTTAAAATAAAGCTGTATATCAATGGATTGATGTGGTCTACGAGCCTTTGAAATTTGGTTTATGATGCAAGTTATTCAGCAGTAGAAACTTTGGATTTAAATGACGACAACCTTCTACTGATTCTTCTTAACTTATTGCTGGATTCTATAACTTTGGAATAAAGATATTTTTCCCTTGGGGATAGGAATTTTTTGCCTAGTGACGTTAATGTTCTTTAAAATTTGGCATCGTCTCTCATGACCTGCAAAAAAAAAATAGATCAAGATTGGAGACGAGCTTTTCGCACATTTAGCTTCTAATTTTTCTAGCATTCGACTGCAAGTTTTAGTAATTAGTAGTCTTTTATAGTAGTAGTCCTACTTGAGTTAGGATGTTTTAAAATTCACCTACTCCCAAGTGGGTGGTTATTCATTAAGCAATAACACTTAGGTACCTACCAATAAAAGTTTTAAGAGACAAAGTTAGTTGGTGACTTTTTCATGTTTGCAGATGTGATGGTTCCACTTGGTGTAGCAATGTCTGCCTGAATTGCAGAAGTTTCAGTAGATAAAAATTGACGACATGAAGGGCCTGGTTGATCTAAAACAGAAATTTCGTTACCAATGATTCTACCAAAAAAGTTTGGATACATGCATTGTAGAATATGGTGTACCTGTATGTAACCAGGAATATTTTAATTATTGTGTCTCCTGATAAAGGAATAAACATTTTAAAAAAAGAAATGAATAATATTAGCTTTGTTCCAACACAGCAGAAAACCGTACAATGTACCGTCACGATTCTGCGCAGAAACTAAAATTGTTATACTGAGTGGTTTCGAAACCGTTCATGGGACGATTTTTTGACGTGTTGGAACAGAGTTATTATGTTTACCTACCTATGTCAATCATAGTTGCGAAACTAATTTCTGAAGGCGTCTTAGGACTCTTCGACGAGTTTCAACTGTGTCGATCTCCACTTTTTGCCATTTTGGTGATTGTGGTTTATCAATTAACGACTCCTCACTGTTTTTGATAATTGGGGCTAAAATTAAAATTAATTTTAATGTTTCTGACCTATGCTCCTTTAAACCCGAATTCTAACACGTTGTCGTTAATCAGAACTATGGGGAGGAGTAAGTGAAAATGTAAGTACGTCTTTCTCACATATCTAGTATTAACTTACCTTCAGGGAGATACAGCAAAAGCGCAGCATTCCATGTGAGTCTGGCTTTTGAATCGCTAACAATAAATTCTCGAGGAAAATGTCTTGTTCACGCTCTATAATTATTATAAGCCTTCTCGACACTGAGGCTATTTAGTAAAGGATTGCGAACTTTTTCTAGCCATTGTTTCATTTTTTCGGCATCTTTTGGAAACCGGAAATAGCTGCTGTATTTGTCGCCGCACCCCGGAACACAGCATTTCTGATGCTTTTCAATTAACAAACTGGGAGAAGACATTTTGAGATAATAATTATTGATAATTGATAGGTAATTGATAATTCTAAATGTTGGGAGAAGTTCAAAATTTAAATTTTGACGACTGGAAATGACAAAATAAACTTCAAATCTTGGCGCACGGTCCGGCAGGAAAAACAAAACTTTAATAGGTTGATTGAAGCGCCTCTAGTGATTGGAGGGGAAAGCTGAAACGACTAGACTGACGTCTCTCATAAGACTTACATTTCTAAGGGGGGATGTTTTGTGATAAGCGGTGATTTTTTCTATGTGCAGTAGAAATGTTTTATCTGCAAATCAATTAAGTTGATTAATTGAAAAGTATTGTATTTGAATTCCACTGTCCTTAGTTGTAATTTATTCGGCGAATTAAAGGTAAAAAAAAAAACTATTTAGTGCTTTTTCTCCTTGATGCTTCCAGCCATGCCAGAGGATTTACAGTTTTAGAAGTCGAAGGAACAATTCAATTTTTAAATACATAAAGATCTGAACATCTTTTTGGTCCCAACGAGACGGATATGGTGAGGAAAGGCATTTTTTTTTATATAAAAAAAAAGTGAAGGTAAAAACGTCAAAAAAAAAAAAAAAAAAAAAAATCAAAAATTGTCACTTGCGCAAGTCAGCGTCAGTTTTATGCTGCTATAAATAATACAGCAAGTGAAGAGGAAATTTGAAGACCAAGATAGATATCATAGGCAATAGACTGTGAGACAAGGCAACAGACAGTATAGGTACCTGCTTTCATTTGCCATGGATATTCTTCAAAAATTTTGAATTTTAATGGACAAAAGCAAGTGTATATTCTGAAGGCAGATTTTATCAAAAACAATTTTAGTTTAGGTATAGTTTGAATTGTTTAAATTTAATTCTTTATTATTGTTAGTGTAGAATAGAAGTAGGAAAAATCACCAAAAAACATGGCTCCAAAAGCGAATCAATTGGAAATTGAACGTTTAAAGGCAAAGAAACAGCAAGCGATTGACTCTATTCAAAGATTAGCCAGGTATGTTCAGGAATACTGTAATGATCCTGATTCAAATAGAAAATTTGAATGTTTTCAGGTAAGAAAAGAATCACTTATTCAACTTTATGATAAAATTAAGGACCTTCAGTCCGAGATTCTTTTTCTTGACAAAAATTATGCAGATGGCTTAGACGATATAGAGTGTGAATATTTTCATACGATTGCATACATGAATGAAATCTTGCCAGGTAAAAGGTCTGAAAATTCTGCAAAATTGCCGACGCCAACAAATGTTTTGGTTACAAATAGCAATGTTTCATCATCCAATTTGCCACCATTAAGCATTCCATTTTTTGATGGTAAAACATTAACTAATTTCAAACCTTTTATTGAGCTATTTTCTGCTGTTGTAGATAAATCAACAAAGGCGGACGTTGAAAAATTGTGTTATTTGAAGCTCTATTTGAGAGACGAGGCATTAAGCCTAATAAATAATTTGCCACTTGTGAACTCATCATATCCAGAGGCTCTCACTCTTTTAAACAATCGCTACAATAATGAAACCATGCTCATAAACTCTCATATTTATTCCCTTTTGGATATTCCGTCGATATCAAAATGTACGTCTGTTTCTTTACGAGAATTTGTGAGCAGGGTAAAACAACAAACTGGTGCCTTAAAAAATTTAAGCCAACCCGTAGATAGCTGGGATATGATTCTAATTTGTATTTTATGCAAAAAACTTGATCAATTCACCAATAGGGCATATCAAATCGATCGTGACAGTTCAAAACTTCCTACATTGAGCGAATTTTTGCATTATCTCGAAAACCGTGCAATGGCTTTAGAGGCAGTAAATTTTCCTGAAATAAACACTGCAGAAAATAGAAAAAAGAACGAAAAGACTATTTTACTTGGTACTAATTTCAAAGGCGAACAAAAATGCATATTTTGTTCTTTTTCTGGTCATAAAATATTTAATTGTAGAAAATTTAAGGGTCTCAATGCTTCAGAAAGAATGTCCTTTGTTGAAAAACAAAAATGTTGCAGATTATGTTTAAATAATCATGGAGGAAAGTGCAAAATGACTTTCAAATGCTCCTATTGCCATAAAGGCCACAACAGTTTGCTGCATCTGGACAGACCACCAAAACAAAATTTTGGGGATAGCTCCGGACAGCAGAATCAACAACCTGTACAGATAGTATCAAATTCTTATATGGGCGCAATAGCGAATAACACAGAAAATGAGTTACTACCTACTGTACAGGTGAAAGTTAAAACAAACAGTGGTGAGTACATCATGGTTAGATGTTTATTGGATAGCGGATCTCAAGTTTCATTGGTAACGAGTGGTTTGGTTAAAATATTGAATTTGACAACTTTTAACAACAATTTAAATGTGGTTGGAATTTCTTTGAATTCAACAAAAATACAAAAATCTGTAAATTTGGAAATTCAATCTAAATTTTATGATTACAACATAAATGTAAAATGCTTAATGGTTGATAAAATTACAACAAATTTGCCACA